ACACACACACACACACACACACACACACACGTGTCATTGTGCCCAATATCAGGGTGAACACATTGATTGGCCTATTAAACCCTGTCCAAACCACCTGAGATGAGTTGTGAAAGATGCAACTGCTTAGCTGGGCCAAGAGTGGGTAGATTCCTGGCCCAGATAGAGATCTGATCTCAGCTCCTGGGAGGAATAGAAGGAAGCCAGGTAACAGGAACACTGCTACTCGAAGTGTGGCCTGTGGATCAGCAGTGTCAGCATCAGCATCACTTGAGAACTCATTAAAAATGTAAATGTCAGGCCCCACTCCAGACCTGCTGAATCAGAATCTATGGGGTGAGCCCAGGAATCTGTGTTTAACTAGGCTTCCAGGTATGGGCTTTGAGAAGCATTGGACTAGAGCTGAGTGAGCAGGTAAAATGGCAGAGGTGGGAATGGAGATAAGGTTTCGGTGGAATTAGAGGAACAGGACACAAGTAGGCCTTTAGGCCATGGTAAGAACTTTGAATTCTACCCCCAAAAGCAATAGATTTCATGGCTTCAGCAGCCAAGTGCTCAGTCAGGTTCCTATTGAAGATCGATTGCTGTGCAGAAATGACCAGGAGATGAATAGGAGAAGAAGAGGGGAACTTAAAGGGGAGAGTGCAGTGGTTTCAGCCAAAAATTCCAGGGCCTGGACATGGGTGGAGACTGTGGAGGTGGAGAGAGGGACTAGAAAGGGAGCTATTCTAGAGCCAGTGAACAAGGTGGCCAATCAGTTCTCAGAGGGAGAGAGGAGTCAGGACTACACCCCAGTTCCAGCATTGATGGCGGGGTGGATGGGGGCCATCACGGAGACAGGGTCTATGGGAGAATCTCAGATGAAGGCCATGAGTTCAAATTCAGATGGTTGAATTTAAGTGAGGATGTCATGTAGACAACCCCAATTTTCTCCAAGATCAAAGGGAGAATGAACAACTCTGTGTGTAGGAAGCCAAATCTGATGATCACTAAGGAAGACTCAGGGAAAGAACAGATGGATGATGAAACAACTCCACTCAAATGGCAGAAACCTGAATCAGGTACTTTGAGGGGCCAGGCTGGGAGCATCATGACTTGGGATGGGAGAGGGAGAATGTGGAAGGTGAGCCCCACCATGCTCCTGCCTCTGGTGTGGGACATGGAAAAATGCCCACCTACGGGAACTCGCTCCATGCGAGATCTTCCACACCTAGACCCTGGGAACTGGCAAGATCTCTGCTTTCCTCTCTCCAGCCTCAGAGACTGAGTCTGTTCCTCCCCAGAATATCCCCGGGGCGTCTCAGACTCTGATCCATGGCCCAGTCTCCCAAGGTCCTTTGCATCGCTGCCCATCCATTTTTTGAGCCATGTTCCTTTCACAAGTTACCTTGCCATTGGAGCTGGGAATAGCAATATCTCTGTGCCAGTGGGAAGGCAGAGATGGGTAGGGTTGGGGTCAGAGGGCAGTAGTGTTGGGCCTCCTCAGATAGCAGGCAGGCAGCCCCAGTATCAGGCACAGAGGATACAGACACACTCCCTGCCAATGTCCAGACAGACAAACCTTGGGGAGGCTCCCTCCTTGGTATAGGCTAGGGATTGGGGGAGGCAGCCAGAAGCCCTAATGTTGACCATTGCCCTGCCTGTTCCAGAGAGCTCCCAGCAAGTAGTACAGGCGAAGCCCTTCTGTCTGTCTTCTCCTAAACCCCTGGGGGACATACCAGTGGAGTCTATATGGACAGATGATGACTTCTGGGGCCCCACAGGGCCTGTGACTCCAAAGGTGGTGGATGAAGACAGAGGTCTATACCGGTAAGTGAGGGAGCTCCACTGTGCCAGGCTGGCCCCCAACCCCTGCCATCCCCACACTGGGTCCCAACAGACACTCAACACCCCACTCATGGCATTGAGTACCCTCCCACTGCCAAGTCACTAGGCAGAGACAGGGCTGAGATACTGGGTTGGTGCTTTTATTATGGAAATAGAGGTTTTATTATGAAAAGTTGAAAAAAGAGCCTAAGGAAATTCCACTTACCCATTATTCAGCTTCAACAATCATTTTACCAAATTTGTTTTAACTATTCACTTTCCCCCTCTTTTGTAGTTATAGTATTTTATATCTATGATATCAGGTGATTTTACCAATAAATTTCTTGTGATGCATTTTGAAGAGTACAAATGAAGACTTCTCCTATAACCACAATGCCATTATATCTGACAACATTCACAATAAGTCATTTTCATATCATCTAATACCTAGTCTGTATTCAAATATGCTCAATTGTCCAAAATGTGTCTTTGTAGGTGGTTTGTTCTAATCAGGATCCAAACAAAGTCCACTGGTTGCATTTGGTTTGTTATGTCTCATAAATCTCATTCCATCTACCCATTTCTGTTTTATTAGCATCTGCTATGTGCAAAGTACCATACCTGTAACAAGGGCCATGAGATGAATATGGTAGCCTGCCTTCCAACGGTCCCCAGTTCTAAGTAATAAATGTCTATAATCTTAGTTCTGATCTCTTACATAACACATTCCTACTCACTGTCACAGACATGATCTCAATGGAATGGAATATTACTCCAAACTTACACACACAGAAGGTGACATCCCAGGAGCCCACTCTTTACCAATGGGGACCTGGGGAAAGTCTCTGTAATATCTCTGCAAGTGTTTTTTCAGCTCCAAGTGTGTTATCAATAATATCACCATGTAGATTTTTATTAATTATCGAAAAATATGCCCTTCAAAAACAAGAAAATTTTCCTATTTTATTATTAACTAGAGGTCTGGTGCATGAAATTCTTGTACGGGTACAGTCCCTAGGCCTGGCCTGCGATCAGGACCATCTTCCCAAGCTGGCTCCGCCCCCCGCTGTCACCCAACCCCAGTTACCCATTCGCCATCAGGTGATCGGTGCTTGACAGCTGAGGGAAGGGACTGAGAGGTGGTCAGTGCACCTCATAGTGACTGGTTCTGGTCGTACTGCCATTAAGGTCAATTTGTATATTGCCCTTTTATTATATAGGATAGAGGCCTGGTGCATGGGTGGGGTCCAGCTGGCCTGCCCTGAAAAGGGTCCCAAATCGGGGTGGGAGAAGCCTGTAGTGGAGCAGGGCCACCGGGGCAGGGGCCACGGGGTTGCAGGCCAGCCTCGTCCCCTATCAGGGTAGGGGTCACCACTGGGGGCAGGGCCGGCCTGGGTTAGGAGCCTGGGGAAGTTTTCAGGCTGGCCACACCCCCGATTGTGGTGGGGGTCCCCTCTGGGGGTGGGAATGGCCTGGGCGAGGAGCTGAGGGCTGTTTGCAGGCTGGCCATGCCCTGGTTTGCACGCTGGCCATGCCCCTGATTGGGGTGGTGGGGTCCCTACTGGGGGCGGAGCGGCCTGGGTGAGGGGCCTGAGGTGGTTTGCAGGCTGGCCATGCCCCCAATCAGGTGGGGGGGGGTCCCTGGTTTGGTGTGGGGCTGGCCTGGGCAAGGGTCCGAGGGTGCTTTGCAGGCCGGCCAAGCCCCCGGTTTTGTCAGGATGGACGTCAGGAAGGTTGGCCAGAAGATGTCCACTCTAATTAGCATATTACCCTTTTATTAGTATAAATAGTATTATTATTATTCCCTTTATCATCGCCATTATAGAAACAGCTCACCACCCCCAGGCAGATATTAAGCTGTCAGCATACATTAGGTCACTTATTACTCAAAACTCTATGAGATGGTGCTATTATTACTTTTATTTACAAATAAGAAAACTGAGATTAGGGAGGTTCAATGACTTGCTCAAGAATCAACAGTAGAGAGCAGAGGAGCCAAGACTTAACCCCAAATCTCTCTGGCTGTCACATCTGAGCTTGCAGTCATTCTACTAGATACACAGTCTACTGCATGGGTCGGGCACCCAGTAGATAGTCCGTGAGCTTGTGTGGAGTAATTAATTCAATGTCTACCTCTCTCTGCTATCCCCAGAGTTCACTTCCCTGTGGCTGGTTCCTACTACTGGCCCAACACAGGTCTCTACTTTGTGGTGAGAGGGCCAGTGACCATTGAGATTGAATTCTGTGCTTGGGACCAGTTCCTGGACCAGATTGTCCCATGGCACAGCTGGATGGTTGCAGGGCCTCTTTTTGACATCAAGGCTGAACCAGGAGCTGTGGCAGCTGTGTACCTCCCTCACTTTATAGACCTCCAAGGTGAGTGAGAGGGAGGTGTGAGGGAAGGTGATGGTGGTGAGAATGGGTCTGAAATGGCTTCCAATGGCTTTCAATATCCTGAGGGGAGTTTGTGGCTTCCTTAGACAGACTGAGAGAAAGTTGTAGAAGTGGCAGCAGCTTTCTTTCTCATTCCACAGTGCTCTAGGCATATCTGTTTTGAAACATTATGTCCCCAAGCATCATAATCATTTTTGCCTGAATTACTAGAAAGTTTCCCTCAATAGAAAGTGGTCTCCTCGCTCTCACCAGATTGGCTCAGTGAATAGAACACCGGTCTGTGGACTGAAGGGTCCTGGGTTTGATTCTGGTCAAGGGAGCATGCCTTGGTTGCAGGCTCAATCCCTGGCCCTGGTCGGGGCATGTGTGAGAGACAACCAATCAATATGAGACATCAATGCTCTCATATCGATGTTTCTCTCTGTCTCTACCCCTCTCTTCCACTCTCTCGGAAAATCAATGAAATAATATCCTCAGGTGAGGATTAACCAAGGAAGGAAGGAAGGAAGGAAGGAAGGAAGGAAGGAAGGAAGGAAGGGAGGAAGGAAGGATG